TATTCAAAAATGCAGTGTGGCCTTCTTGCTACGTAGAGAGAGGTTTCTGTGATTGCCATGGTCACACTTGGCTCAGTGCTGTGTTTTTGAAAACAGAAATCACCAGTTTAAGTGCCAACGCTGTCATTTACTCACACCCAGCCTGCTGATATTTACTAGTTTTATTCTTTGAAGCAGAAATATTATACAACCTTTAAGGGTATTGTCAGGAAAATGAACTTATTAACCTCAGCTGCACATTTCATTGCCTTGTCGTTACTGTTGCATCTGTCTTGTGAAAGGCTGTAATGTTCTCTTTATCCTCTTCACCTGCAGAGGCGGAGTCCTCAGAATTTAGCTGCATGATTCAACGAGCCACCAGAGCCACTCGTTCATCATTTCATGCATTCTCCATTGGTTAGACAGACAGCTGAAAGCTTAAATTTTTCTCATTTCCGCTGTGCTCAAAGACATAAATCACAAGTTCAAAATGTCCTCAAATCTTATTCTTGACATGCAAGTAAATGGGCATTTCTTGTCCCTTCAAAGCATACAAGAATAATTGCGAGTTTTTGCTCTAAATTATTTTCTTCAAAAAGGTAAGGTACAATAATTGTAAAGATGTTAAATCGTTGCCAGGTGATAAAATGAAGAGCAATGATCTTTCTTGATGTGAAGTGGGAAGAACAATAGAAGGCCCTGCTGTCTAATACAAACTTTCTGTTCAGTATTTCTGTTTTCTTCTTTGTCTGCCATCATTGACTAAAAAAATATGAACAATAAATAAGTAAATTAAAAGGTTAATCATTAAGTGTTTTGGATTCATTGATTTGTTGGCCACTAGGGGGCATAAACTCAAATAGACACAGCTGTTGCCTAATTGCACACCCAGCAGACATGGAGCAACATAATCAATCATTTGGAGTTGAATGAATTTAAGTCCAATTTTCACTCTCCACTGAGTTTTTGTCTCCGCCACCTCTTGAGAAAAAATATCTGGTATGTCAGATAGCTATAAATACTTTGATAATCACAAGCCTGAGCAACAATTGCTATGAAGTAGATCCCAGTGAGAGGCATTAATCAAGAGTTGTATCAAATTTAAAATGCTTTGTCTTTTGGGAACAAAACGCTGCACAATTATTGCTGAATTCATCCAAAACTGACCCAGAATCTGAAATCAGCACAAAGTTTTTGCTCGCTGGGTGCATCGCACAAAACAGTGATAGGATGTTTCAGACCACAATGCACCTTGGGAGTTGTGGTAATGTAAATAAACTTGTACCTTTTATCAAAGACATTTTCAGAGTTTTATCCACATCCAAGCCATAGACGCGCACCAACACCCCTTTCACATTACACAGTTGTTTGACTAATTGTTCATTTAAAGATATTGATTAGTGAAGCTTGAACTCTCTCTCTGATGTGTTATCTGTTAGTATTACTGTTCATCTTAGGCAGGTAGGTTAGAGGATATAAGTACCCAAATGTTGCTGACAGAGAGTTCAGACTCTTTCACTCTTGTGCTGTAATGGGTTGCATTAGGGGATGAGGGCACAAAGAAAAAGACAGTCACACAGTTAATTGATTTTCCTTTGTTCCCTTCATGTGATTCAGAGCTGTGCAGCATTACAGTTTTCTGCAAGAGTAAATTGGCAAAAGGCACAAAAGGGAGATCTGTACTTTCTTGCCTCCTAATGTCCTTATAACACTTGAATAATTGCCTATCTTTTCAATAGACATGCACAATGCAGCTGGGCTCTGAATAGGAATAAATCCTAATGCAAGATAGAGTTTAAGTTAGCACTATAATGTCTAATCTTCTGAGGAGGTTTCCAGATTTGGTGTGTCTGAATATGTGCGTATAACATTAAATAAATGGCCGCAGCAGCTTTAGCCATCTGGTTAAAAAAAGAGTTATTAAGTATCTTCCAAATGACGAGTTGATTAAAAGGAAATTCCTCCAATTTAAAAATAAAGGTCAGTTTGGTAGTCATGTGGAGCAATGCTGGACCGGTAATCTGGCATTTTCCCAGTGGGCCAATGCACCTTGGGGGCCGTTGGTATGGTCCATGTGTAGAGCAGGTGTGTGACAGGGAAGAGAGGAACAGCGTGAGCAGGAGAGAGTGTGGTTAATGCGGTAAGCAGGGAATAGTTGGCTTACCGCTTGATGGCGACAATAAATGATAATTCATTCAATTATAATAATTAGATAAGTTAACATAACATTGTGACGCTATCATAACCGTCAGCTTCTGGCGCTCACTCTGTCAGTCAATGCCAAATAGCGTAGCATAAGCTAGGTCCATATCTTATCATGTTTAAGTTATACAGCTTCTTGCACCTTACTTTGCATCCTTATCAGGGAATTCCAACAATTCTGTATCTGAATTTATAATAATGTAAATTCCCCTCCCAATTAATTGTAATAATCTCTCCCTCTCTCCCTGTGCCATTGTCTAGTCAAGCCAGGTTGTTGAGGCAGCAGTGGAGGTGAGAGATAGGGAAGAACAAGAAGCTGTAGACTACTTCAGTATGTGTATTGTGCGTGTCACAGCCACCTCTGATCACCGGGGAGTCAGTCAAGAGCAAGTGAGTACACTGGTCCACAGCACTTACTACTCAGCTTTGTAGTGGTTGTGGGGGGTGTTTTACATATTGTTGGGGCCTGGTCTAGGCCAAAAATGCCAGGGCTGAATTTTTTGTCCCAGTCCAGCCCTGATGTGTACTACTCAGCCAGTATAATGTCTTCTGTGGCTCTGGAGGAGCATTGTCAAGTATCAGAAAATAACCCTGATGAAGTCACTGGGGTTATTTCGATTTGGGCTTTGAGACTTTTACATTTATAACAGAAAGCCTTATAAACTGGAGCTGTGTCATTTAAAAGATTTACTTGGCAAAGCGGGTCTAATGGAAATCTGTTCAATTCAGCATATCTCTGCCTCTGTAGCATTGATTTTGATATTTTTCTTTTAAACCTCTCTCTTGCCAGGCCCCCAAAGGTGCAACTATAATGGAGGTTCAATACTAAGTAACTGGAATGCCCCTCTAACAGTGTTGGGCAAGTTACTCAGAAATTGTAATATATTACTATTACTCCTTAAAAAATTTACTGGGTGATAAAAATAACTACTTGTGTTGCTCGTTTTGTTACTATATTACTTTCCAGTGTTTGGGGGGGGGGGGAATCAATATGTGGCAGTCAGCAGTCTCTCAGGACGTTTTAACTAATATCATATTCATAACAGCAGCAAGGATTTTTACAAAGCATATTGCTTAGGCCTAACATTTCTTAACACCACCGGCTGAAATAAAAAAAAAAAAAAAAAAGCAAGTAGCCTAAATCCCGACTTTTGATCTAATGTTTTATTGCACATGTAGCCTGTTTATAAGAGCAGTATTCAGTAGTTACAAAACCTTGCGTGAACGCCACTCTCTCCTGACGAGTCCAAGCATCAGTGACAGCAGCTGCCGGAGTTTCTTTCTGTAAGTTTCACGTTGCTGTGCTGCTTCTGCAGACACAATGTTCTTTGCATCATCTTAGACTGTGACACAATAATGGCAGTAGCTACTTACAGCTGTGGAAAGAACGCCTCTGCCTTTCTTTCTTTAGTTTTTCGCTATCAGTCCGGTGCCGCTGAGCTGCCGCACAGTCGTGGATTCACGTCACGGATGGTGCGTTCAGTAACGAGTAACGCAGCGTTACTTGCATTAGTAACTGTAATATTACCGTTTTAGAAAAGTAATAAGTTACACTACTAGTTACTGGGAAAAGTAATTATTACAGTAATGGGTACGTCGCTGCCCAACACTGCCCTCTAATAGGTAATTTCAATTATTTCAAATGTTGCTTTGATTGTGTGATGTTCCCCTTAGGATGCATTGTAACCATTTTGATGATTCCATAACTTTTCATCCAGAGGTCAGAATTTAAATGCTAATATGCTAAACTAAGATGGTTAACATGGTATGCAGTTTACATGCCAAACATACGATTTTTAACATTGTCTGAGAGAGGACTTGCTTATTGCCCATGATTTGGTGAAGGTAGCAAACGAACCGTTAGTCATCTATATACTACACCCCTTTGATATACTGAGTCATGTGGAAAACTTAATTACTTAAACATAATAAAAAAGATGTGCATTAAATGTATCTTGCTATCAAATTAGCTATATGCATTGGGTGGCACACAGACATAAACTTGCGTGATGACTCTGGCCTCATATTAGCAGGAAACACAGCAGTCATGTTGCTTCCTGTTGCTTCCCAGTCAAAGTACATTACACTGGTATCACTGAGCTGGCAGGAACCGCCCGCTGTTTTCAAGCACCATTAGTATTGACTTGAGTGACAGAACTTATGCCACAGAATTCCTTTTGCACTTTAACTAGACTAATAATTTGGTTAATTTTGTTGGTATGCACACACTGTTGCAACATTACACTACATCTTTTATCTTTGTTAATTACCACAGCGTGCAGAAATAATTGACAGAAAATATAAGGAGCTCAACACACACTGCAACTTACAACACACGCAAGTAGAAAAACACAAGCAAATGAGGAAAACATTTTAATCTATTTGACAACATATATGCAGCAAAAGAAACTGCACTGCAAATACAGAAAACCAGAAAAGCAACTTTCTGTTTTTGATTTTCTTATTTGCAGCTCATTTTGTTTTGAAATGTGCTTGTGTTTTGTTACTCTGCAGTTAAATATTGTGTTTATGTTGTCAAATTGATGAAGATGTTTCCTTAATTTGCTTATGTTGTATCTATATTCATGCATTTTCTTAAGTTTAAAATGATTGTTATTATTTATTATAATAATACAGTAATTTGTTTTTCAGTTTATCCTTGAAAAGCATGCGAGCCAAAAATTCAGAAACAGAAACAAAGAAGGCACAATAACCTGCCCATTTGGCAAAGGACTAAAATATAATTTCAGACAATGCATTAATACTCATACATTCAACAAATGCAAACAAGTGCCTGAGTGTTAAAAAGGAAACAAAACAACAAAGGAGAGATTTTAATTCACATCAAGTCACGCTTCCAGATAGTAAATACAGCAGCCAAACAGGCAATGCGATAGTGTTCAAAGGTACAAAATGTTGTCCAGAAGAAAGACTGACTTATAGCATAATCTTAGAGCATCCACAGTCGTGTATTTTGTTTTTTTTTTATACAGAAAACAGTATCAAACATTAGGCAAAGTCATCTCATGACAAAACCAAGAACATCTGCATGCAGTTTAGTTTTTTTTTCATAATATTGAGCTTGCATACAAAGGCAGACAGATTACAAAATCAAAATCACATGTTGGTTGTATTCATTACATATTCATCGGAGAGAGAGAGCAGGATCACTGTTGTGTCAAGGAGTATATTGAGATGCCAACAAGGTTTCACAGCCAGTTTGTGCCTCACAAATCAATGTGGCTGAAGAGGCTCTTAACACTTTAAAGAAATGTGAGGGGTGATGTAATGCATTAAACATTTCATTCCCCGGCTTTAAAAGGTGTGACACCATTAGTCAAAATCAATTTTTCTTCAAAATGGATGGATTGTAGTGTGAAAGCAATGTAATAGTTCTAATAACATCATCAACAATAAAACTATTGGTCAAGAAGGTTAAATAATTTAACAAATGGACGTTAGGGCTGTTTGTCACTTTCCACCAGCTGTAATTAGTGAGTTAAAATGATGTGGTTATTAAACCAGTCAGCCACACTGACAGAATTGACATGCTCCTAAAAACAAACATGCCCGGCCTATCACTTACAGTGACGTGAGGTAATGACAAAAAGCTGTTAGCTGAATTGCAAGCCTGACAGGATTCCTGAACATTACGTGAGGACTATTTGTATGCCGTTTCTGTGTTACCAGTCAGTGCACGGAAATTTACAAGAAAGGTGGGTGCAGGGGCATGCAGAAAAGGTCAAACTCATTGCTTGGTCAAAATCACAAATACATGGCATGCATCCCAGCCTACTGATCCATGAGGGCAACTGAAGTTGGGAGTTTTCAGTCCTGAAACATTTCCAGTTCTGCGCAAGGACTCGAGGTATCAAACCAAAAAAAAAAAACAACAGAAAAATACAACAAAAAAACCCCAACATAAATAATTCAACAGGCTAGAAGGAGTCAAAGTAAACTTTTAGTTATCTTAATATATGAGTTGAGTGACATAGTCCGAGTGTTTTGCTCCTGGGCTGTGAGTTCAACCATCTCTATTCCCAGATATCTGTGCCCAAATACAGAGCTTAAGATTTGACATATGAACAATATCAACAACACAGAGCACTAAGCTGCACATTCTTAGAGGATTTACTGTGGAATAGAAGGGGTTAAAAATGTACATTCTGTTTGATACATTTAAAATGGAGCTGTTTACATAAAAAAACCCTCAACAGATGCAACATCATAGTAATAATATACATACACGGCTAGTATATTAAAAATTCTGCCCTTCTCACCCCTGCCCATTTTAGCAAAGCTACAATTGCACCGACTTAAGCAAGGGCGTGTTCACCCCTTTCAGCAGCAAACTTGAACTTCAGCATCAATAGGTTGTTGTAAACAATACATGCTTTTGTTAATTTTATATATATATTTTATATATTTGACGTAAACTTTCCCTTTTGAAAATTCGGCCCTTTTGACAAACAGCAGGTACATTTTCAGCCACATTACAGCCTAAAATGCTGTCATTTTCTGTAGTGTAAACAGTAAGCTGCACACACACATGCCATAGTACTGCCCAATCATGTGGTATTGTGATTTGACAAGTTATTTTCCCCCGGTGGGTCACCCACTTAACTTCATTCTGTTCTGTTCATTCTGATTACAGATGGTCGCTATCAAGTAGGCTCTCTACCTTCCACACAGTGAAGCAAGGCTGTGTGACGTGATCGCAGTGTAGTAATTGTGAATGTTTTCACCTCTGTGCTGAAATTATCCACAGATCATCAGGTGCATGAGACCTACTTTTATATCCATAGCCCTCTTCAGCTCCTGACTAATCACAAAGCAGCCATTACACGATTATGCTCTTACTGCACTTGTTCAACTTGCTGCACGGCCGTTGAAAGAAAGTCTGAACCCCTGTTCTTTAAAGCATTCGCTGTAAAAATCACTTGTGTCCTTGTACCCATGATTCATCTCAGATTTTACTTGAATTTCTAAATGCATATTTTATTTAACTACCCATCGCTTTAGCACTGTAAATTCAGAAACACGCAATTCTGAAGTCTGGATAGCATGACTGAATGGATGGAACACTTGAGGAGCCTTGACATCAGGATTACCACACAACTAGGCAGCTCTATAGATTAGTCATGTCAGTAGTCATAGATAGTGCTTTGACACCAAGCATTGTCTCATATTAATTAGTCTGAACAGAGACACACAGGGAATTAGTGTTTGTGATGTGAATACTTGCTATAAGTAGCTTTGAGGAGAAGTTTTGTATCTCATTCATTTAGCTCACACTGACCAAACTGCCTGCTTACTGGGCAGAAATTTAGTCACATTGCCAGCTTACAAATGAGCGTCAGTCGTCCTAAAATCCTTTTAAGCAGAACTTACGTCCATCAACTACCAACATCAGTCTTCTAATATCCACTAAGCCTTGGATTTTGGGGTTGTTATGTGTTATTGGTATGTTTATGTTAATTTCCCCTTTACAACAAACTGCCACGCAGTTCACTGGGAAGAGGAGTGAAGGCCTCAGTATGCTTCAAACAAGGTACTTGTACCAATACCTGAAACAATACACCCTACCCAGGGCAGCATTTGAACCTCTCTCAAGCTCTCTTTTATTTCACTCTTCTCACAACTACTTTTTGTAATACCACGCACTGTCCAACACCACAAATGCCTTCAAACAGAGACAGTGTGAAAGCGTGTGCCCCTTTTAAAGGATTCATCATGTCGAGACTACAAAGGCAAAAGACACAGATTTCTTGGAGATGGATTGGGCAGGCAGTGCGATGCAGCCAGGAGAAGGTTTTGACAGGAAGGCTTTTCACCCCGGATTGAAGTGTGGATTTTTTGATATGACATCACTATGGTTAAGGTTTGGTTTGGTTTGGTTTAGGCACAAAAAGTGGTCATGGTTAAAAGAAACAGCATATTTGCTAGACGTCTTTGTCACTTGACCATAACATGCATAACATACTAAAGCGACTGGCGTTTTTGTTCAGATCAGTCTCATTGTACAATCCAGATAGTTTGAAGCATGCAGAGGCCTTAACTTGTACAGTATTCTAAGGAGGTTCTGTGGTCCTGTGACATTGTTTTCACCTAGACAAATGACTCAAACTAAAGGATAAACGCTCCAGATTTCTAAAACAAGCTGCTGCAAGCTTGTAGTTGGCCAGTTGTGTTGGAGCCACTTAGACTGGGGATGAACGACAGGACCGTGGCAACCTAACACTTTTACAATCATATTAAAGTGCAATATCTTCAGTTATTGTGGCAAAAACAAAATCTGGATGATTTATTAGAGTCAAGAATACTGATTATGGGATGTTCACTTGATAAGAACTATTACTGTTTATGTAATAAATTAGAAGAAATTATTCCATAAATATTTCTGCATAACTCCAACAGTATGACATTTTGCTACATCCTTAGATTCTTCACTCTTACCACCAAGCTGACAGTATGGAGGTTTGTGCTGTTTCAGGGACTGGTCAATCATTGGAAAATTATTTTAGCTGCTGTAAAATATCTCTTCAAATAGAAAGCATTTGCTCCTTATATATTCACTGATCATACAAGAAATCTGAATTATTATCAGCGCTACAATCCCAGTGATTCATTTTGTGAACTGAATTGCTCTTAAAATGAAAAATAAATGAGCAGCCATGCAACCCCTATTGTACATGTAAAACAGAAAGAAAACAGGTTTTGGATATTTTTAAATGAGCCCTGTTGAGAGGAAATATATTCCCAAAGAGGTGTCACAGGTCACTGGGGCAAACATGAGGAAAATCCAGAGAAGAAGAGATGGGAGGAGGAGTTAGGAAAATGAAGGCAGGGGTCCTATCTAGTGTAACCAGGGAGGGGACGAGGGCCAGCAGGTTGGACGACAGATGTAGGTCTTCAGTCATTTAATGAACCAGGTAATTCATTGGTCAACGTGTGCCAACGCTCAATTTTCTTGTCCTTGTTTTTTAGGCAGTCAAACCAGTGTTTGAGCCTCTCTCCGTTTGCATTGATACCCAGAGATACACCACCTGAAAGAAGGCACAAGGACAGCATGAGTCATATGCTGAACGCTTAGCAGAGCGTGTGGGAGCTTTACAATGTGTCACGTTATGAAAGAGGGAAAGGATAACAACAGCAGATGATTATAGTGTCTTAGCAACAGCACAAAACAACTGAAGACAGGTACGACATTAGAGATGTTGTGATGGCAGCACTTTCTAATAAGAGTTTCTAAATTGTGAAAAATGGTTTATTAATGGTTAATAAATAATTTAGTAATGCTCCCCTCAAGATCCATCTAGTTGCTGTTCTGAAACTATTAATCATATCAGAACAGCTACCACATGGCCCCTGATCAGTGGTGGAAAATACACATTTATTCAAGATTTGTATTTTAGTACAATCACAAGGTACTTGTACTTTACTTAAGTATTTTAATTTTATGCTATTTTATAATTCTACTCCACAACATTTCAGAGGGAACTTTTTACTCATAAAATTATTTGACAGCTGTAGTTACTATGTTACTACAGATTCAGATTTTAAATACCTATAATGAGCTTATCAAATATGATCCATTGTAATATAATACATTAAACAACCCAATAGTATATGAAAAAAATAGAATTACTTCGATCAATTAAAATGCTGTTTATAGTAATGTAATGTAGTAATAATTTCAGTTATATATATATATATATATATATATATATATATATATATATATATATATATATATATATTCAGGCTAGGACACTGTGGGATGAGACCGTTTATGAAACTTTTAACTGCATCTCATGGCTTTAATGAGCAAATTATGTTTGCTCAGTTGTCATGGAGTTTCAATTACTTTAAAACAACCATTAGTTATTTTACTACTATTTTAAGGGTCAAGGAGGAAATTGTTTAGACACTTTTTCCCCCATATGTTCCTTTATTGTTTATTGTGTTTTATTTTCTCAAAAAATTTGAATAAAAGCTTTAGGGGGAGTTCTTTGGAACAGGTTTAAACATCAGTGCAATATGAGCAGGCCAGCTAGTTCCCAGCATGGCTCAGTGCTCGTTTGTTTCCCAGCCTCCAGCATGAGAAAGGGCCGGGCAGATGGCAGACTCAGCTGGACAGAAGGCCAGTGGTGCTGCTGATGCCGCTGAATATCAGTCAAGCTCGTCCCACACTGTCGTCATCTCTGACGAAAGCCGAGCTGGCTTGGCATGGTTCACCTGTGCTTACCTATGAAATCATTAGACTTTCCGATATCGTAGTCCCACACGGTCACCTCCAAGGTCTTTTTGGTGAGGTCTGCATATTTTATGTCATAACAGAACTCCTACAGGAAATAGAAAGGCAGAAAATAAGAGCTCTAGTTGTGCCTTTCTCCGGTATGATCACGTACAATTACAATCACATATCAAATCAAGTATGAAGCCTAATTTGTGTTTAAAGGTTTTGAATGTGTTGAATAAGAGTCCATTCTGCTTCACCACCTTCCCAACAAAACACTCTTCTGCATGCTGTTTGGTAAGCATAATTATCATTACAAACCTGAGTGCAATTGACATTTGTTTCATTTTCTGGTGAAACTGATTCATATAATTCTGAGCGCCTCATTAACTTTTAATTTTTTGTAAGTGCCTAAAATAACATTCAGGTTAATGTCATTGCAGTAGTTGCCTTTCCTCACTTTCACAGCACGCCCTATTAGTTCAGGACACATAGACTCATTCAGTATACTGCAAGTGTTTTGATTGGACCACATTTGAATTAAATGTAAAATACATGCCAGAGTCCTTCAACAGAATGACAGTATAATCAGTAAAGTACACTGTCCACTGAATGAAACAAGCATTTTTTCTGATATCAATTTGCACCGTGTGAAGGAACAGCATTTATGTCGCATTTCAATCTGTGGTTCAATCAGGGTTGCCGCTCCACCTTAATGAAATCAATGCCTTGATATGGAGGAAGACCCTCATTGCTCGTCTCTGACAGAAAGGCCAAGAGGTGATGGAAGAATATGGGTACAAAAAATGCCAGAGGAAATGTCAAGCCGCTGGCCTGTGTGTAGCCAAGGCCGTCCGCTTGTATACAGGCTGAGCCAAGCTGCCCTGTGCCACGATGAATTGGGGGGCCTGTTCAGCCTGGAAAACATGTTTGGCATCTTTCTGCAAAACATTGCTGTGTCCTCAGGGTCTTTAGCAAAGTATTTCTGATTTCAACAGTATTTATAATCAGGTGTTCATCTGTGAGACTGAGCTGCTCTAACTCATTTTAGGGGCTGCATGTCGAAGTGTCCTTGGGCAAGATACTGAACCCCAAATTGCCCCTGGTGGCTGTTGCACCAGTGTATGAATGTGTGTGAATGTTAGTTTCTGTTTGAGCACAGGCTCAGTGTGTGAATGCGATGTAGTGTAAAAGTGCTTTGAGAGGTAGAAAGGCGCTATACAAATACGAAACATTTACATTTGCATTTTGATACAGAATAAGGGCTGATTACTTGTTTTATCTATACTGAATTTATCAAAGCAATGTTACAGCACACTACAGCGATGGGACACTGTTCTGAACATGTTTTCAAGGCCATCATCAACATCTGACATTCCCAATCTTTGGTGGGAAACACAGATTTCCAGTGTGAGAGAAGATAAAGAATCAGTGCTACCAAAAGACACTTGAGCTATGTCTTTGGCTGAGGATGACTTTTGTGACATATTCTACATTCAGACAGCTTCAGTTCTGCTGCTCCCTCAAAAAGTCATCTTGTAGTGAATTTTGAAAAATGTGCTTCTTTTGTATCTGACAGCTGTGCCCTCTCAGAATGGCTTTTGTAGGTTCCAGGGTTATGGAGTTTGCTCCGCACACAAAGGCACTGGACAAACACTCAACTCAGGTAAAAGAAAAATAGAAGAGGGAAAAAAACAAAACAAAGCTGGAGCTTCAAGGTTTTAGCGGAATAGCCGTGGTTTATACCTCGTTGAACTCGGGATTGAGAGTCTTCTTTTTCACAGCAGTCTTGTGCTTTGACTTTTTGTTCTCATCAGGCTTCAGGTACCTGTAGGAGAGCAAAGTATGGAGGGAGGGGAGGAAGACTTAATACAGGACTTAACAGTATTGATAAGGAGCAGCAAAGAGAAACACTTCAAATCCCTGCAGATTCATTTATTAAATTATGTCGAAGTATAATTTGAAACCACCATCAACTATGTAAATCCCCATATACAGTGTAAAAGCCTCATTCTATACATTTCTGTCCTCTAGAGGGTGCTGTGGTACTGCCCTATACTGAACCACACAGCTGCATTACATTACATACGCTACATTACCTTACTTTAATAGACTCCACCTGTGCTTTTATTAAAGACATTTTCCCCCCAGTTGGTAATATATTAATGCTGTTGTGTCATCACCTCCCAAAATAGCTGTTCTCTGCCAATAATAATGTCCAATACATGGTTAGTTTAACAGCAACATTTAATTTTAGTTAAGTCTTTTTGATGAGATTGCAGAGGTGAAGACACGTTGCCTCACATCAATAACACATTTCAGTTTATACTCGACAGTGCAGATCTCCAGTATGTAGTTTCTTTAGTATGTGTGTGTGTGTGTGTGTGCTCACATTGCTGCCTTTATCTTTCATCATGAATGTGACACTGCTCTATAGAGTATATGGTGGATAATATAGTATATAATTGAGTGTTTACTGTATGTAGTTTAGAGAATATTATAGTTTCAAGACAAAACTGCGCGGTACTGAAAGAAAAAAGTGTAAATACTAATTTGTCTGCTACTTCAGCACCATGGACAGTGTCAAGGATCAGTAGACTAGACTTTATTCAACTAAACAACCCTTCTGCCCCCAAACTCTCTCTGCTACTAGGGGATAGAGAGCTAACATGGGGGAATGACATCCCCCCTCATATCACCTACTGGATATGGGTTGACTATTGAAGCATTTGGGGTCATACTACACTCAGCCAGTTTACAGGTACACCTAACTAAAACAAATGCAGTCTAATGCATTCCATGGTGCAATAAATCCTATTTTCACCATTTTTCAGAGAGGTTTTTGTGTAATTTATGGTTATTTTTGAGGCTGTAATTGGCAGTGCTGTGGACCTGTATTGTGTTATATTCAGAGGTGTCTACCCTGATTCATATAAATGGGATGGACAAAATATTAGAAACATCTCTCAGTATAATGCAATGCAGTTAATCAGCACCACAAAGTACAGCCTTCAAAATTGCCATAAAGTTGAATCAACCACCCTCTAAAACTGTTTAAATGAAAACTGTACGTTTATTGCAGGATTGTTGTATTAGACTGCGGTAGTTTTAGATAGGTGTACCTAATAAACGGGAAACTGAATGTACATTGTGAAATGTGCAATCTAAATAAAATTTGATTTTGTTTTGTTGAGGTGTTGCTGGAGTTCCCAGAACATGTTTCAGTTTGCATTCTCTGCAGTCCAAGAGTCTGTGGTGAAAACAGATCATTAGTGCCACTGTTGCTCTGGGTGCAGGCATTGGTCTTTATGAATGTATGGCCAATGTGTGTGTGTTTGTGTTTGTGTAAAGATTGGCCCTTTGCTTCTGTTCTGTCCTTATAAATGATGCAAAAGGCAGGTTGTATTTATATCAAACTCAGCATGCAGTGTAGTGAATGTTGTGTATTACCTCTATCCATTTGGCAAAGAACAGTTATGGGCAATAATGCTCATTCTGATGTGTTATATTTCAATCCAGCAAGCAATTACAGTAGCTCGTCACATCGCTCTTTCCTTTTACACACTTACTGGACACACACACACACACTTCAATTTCCCAAGGTAACACAAAGAATTAAGGGAGGGTAAGTGGGTTATTGCTCACAAACATACCCCTGGGGAAATGGGGGCTGAAATTTGATGAGGATATTCCAGCGAACATAATTGTTGTCATGTAATGGGGCTACTGACCCCCAGGTAAAACCAGCTAAGAGTGAAAGTTAGGATGCAAACAATGCTATTGTGCAACACATTGTTTTTAAATGTTATTTCACTACTGCCATTATTCTGCTTTGAATGAAGAGCCATTAAGGAGGGCATTTACTCATGACATACTCGACAACCTTGGTCGACTAATATGTGTCTGCATTCGACATCCATATGACACATGCGTCTTAAAAATATGCCCAACATTACAGTATCAACGCAATAGACCATGTACAGTTCAGGTGACACCTGGGACATTGGCTGGTGAAAGAGGAGAGAAATCATGCAGCCCTGTCTATCTGTCAGTGTATACATGTCCTTTATTCCCTCTCACATGAGTTTGTCAGTAAATCTATTATCTGCCCAAGTGTCCTTCAAGCTTCAGGGAGATTTTGTCAACCTCAAACTGTCTGAAAATTGTTGCCAGCCCCTTTCCTCCGAAACGAGTCGGCTTTTGTTCTAGAGGTGTGCACAGCAGAGTCGGAAATTAATTGCACTTTCATTGCTCAGCCAGATGAAAGACTTGGGAAATGTTCAGGTGTGATAAATAGGACTCTCCTTCAAACTGCAGATGGCTTCTTGTGCTTTGTGTCTTTCATGCCGCTGATAATCACAGGTAGTCTGCTTCTTTCCTGCTAAACCATCAGCAGTAAACCATCAGTACATGCACTAAAAATAGCATTATTACGACGAGCATCCGGTATTTTGTGGAGAAATACATGTTGAGAGGAGAGAAGAAATCAATCGACAGTTGGCTTTATGTGAAGTCAACCTATGTTTTTAAATCATGTATTCTCCCTTGTCAGATTTCTTCCTTGACAGACACATCGCTAAATGACAATAAATCTATGAAACTGATTCTGAAATCTGCAAAATATCAAGAACAACATCTTTAAATTTTTTTTATACACCTTAAAGATCGAAATAAAGATAAGTCAATTTAATTTAAAAAAATAGAACTCTGGAATTGTAAGTGAATGCACACGGTTATATGTCAGATATTCATACTTCTTCCTGTACTTGCCTATCTTCCATTTTTATTTATTTAAAAAATTCATTATATAAATTAATACAAGCATGAAATTGTGAGGTAATCCAATACATTTTTGAAACTCACCTCATTATTATGAAATGTTATTCTGTCCTTATTTAATTCCAGCAGTTTTTCACCATTTCCCCCAATGATTTCATAATGCCACTTTCATAACAAATTCTTATTATGTAATTGGATGTCGCATTGGTCTGAATGAGCAGGACACCAATGTCATAACTAGCGCTACCATGTTAAAATTTTGTTATATATGTTAAGTAACATTTGAAATAAACTAATCAGTTGAAAAAATGGCATAAAATGTATCGAATTTGAAGATGTCATCTTGGACTGGGAAATTGGGATTGTGAAAATTAATGACTATATTCTGACATTTTATAGACCCAACAATTAATTCATTAAGAAAATAAATGTCACATAATTGTTAATTGCAGCCTTAATAATGACCAAAAAGATTATTGTACAAAGCCATGATTATATATTTGTCTATATTTATCCATAGGATCATTTTATAATTTCTTATTTATTTATTTTTATCTTGAATACTATGGGCCTCCATACTTCCAAGCCACTGAAGACTGCACATTTAAAATCATTTCTTGTGTAATTTTTTTTTCTGTTATGACATGTCCATTGATGAAAGATTCTGGTTCATTGCAGCTTGGGTCCAATTTTCATAGCTTTGTCCATCATTTCTACTGGTTTTAATAACATAACACTGACCAAGGTAATTGCTGAAATCTGGGAACTTGACAACAAAGCTACAATAAAGTCTGACGAGTCAAGAAACACAAGCAGTCAGACGATCAGACATGTTGTAAACGACAAGACAGTTTATCCAGATTGTCCAAGTCACTTTATTTAGAGGTAAAACCGAAAGTGAGTGCAGCCACCGTGTCTGTAATAATCCCTCATTGCACACACAGCTACAGTGAGCACAGTAGGTCAAAGTTGAACCAAGCTGCATTGTAAATTGGTGATGGATCTTTCCTGATAGTTTGTTAACAACCTGTCTGATTGTCCACCTGCTTTTGTTTCTTTCCCCATAAGACTTTTAGTCACTGTGTTCCTGCTTCTCAGTGATTAACTTGGTGAATAAAGATTATTATTAAGGATATAAATGATGTTCAATACTGTGAAAAAAAGATCCAGGTTGTAAAAAAAAAGAATTATGCTTTGTATTTATGTCAGAACATGGGATGAAAACATACCACATGAAATTGTAGCGCACAGCTTCTGCTGTTATATATTATAATGTAACAGCTTTACTCTCTGGGTGTTTTTGCATTTTTGCATACTGACGTTTTAACATAGGGGTCGGAGAAGCCATTGGCGTCCATGGCGGCAAGGTGAGCGCAGCGGATGATGCCCACTACCAGGCAAGACTTCTGGGTGTTGTACTTAAGAGAAATCATGATGCGTCCTCGCTCCTCCAGGGACTTATCTTCTGTCTTGTTGACCTGCAGTGGTAAAAATGACAGGATTTAGAAATAATAACGAGCTTTTGTCACAAAGCCTACCACATGGAGGTATTTATACTACCGTGGCTGCCGGCCAGGGTTCCCCCTCATGCTCAGCATCATTTGTAACTGATGTTTCTCATTTCTGTCATTTGAGAGGAAACCAAAACTTTAATTTCCAAAATGATATTAATCCATGTAGACAACAAAATGTTGTCACTCTGTCAATAATGGATTTAATTCATTTTTTAAATCCCAGGAGTTGTTAAAGTAAGTTGATTTCATAAAATGCCTGCCGCAGCTAAAGTGTGCTTGCCTTCTTGTCTGTTGTGTGTCCTGAAAATCAGCCAAACACTGATTGGCTGATTGATGTCATCTCCGTTGTAAATGGTGAGTTAATAGCCTCATCAAAATTAATTTGCCATGTTCTTTAGAGACAAGATAAACATCTGAACTGACGCATGACCTGTGTGCCTGTTTTCATTCCAAACACACCACCAGTACTTCCCACTGATGAGCACAAATTCAACAACAGACCCAAACCTTCACGTGCTGTCGAATTAATTCAAATATTTTTGTCTGTTTGGATGATTTGGTATTAAACGTGATGTGGACAAGCCTCAATTTATAACATCACTAAACACTAAAATCATTTGTAACAGAGGAAGTTATTTATACATTGTGTAAAATAAGTAAAAATAAATAAGGCTATCAATAATATTTATGAATATGGTCCCCTTTATTGCTTTTTTGTTTCTATGCACTTTATCTTTGATTGCTAGAGTGAATTACTTGAAAATGTTTGTTCTTACTTAATGTTTAGTGGTTATGTTAGTGGTGAAGTAGCAGTTACCAGACACTTCAAACTCTCCAAAGAAAAAAAATACTAACTTCGAGTGTATACATTTTTACAGAAATGCAGCCCAGGCCCCTAAAGAGCTATCTGGACTTTGTTTATTTTTTAAAAGCTATGACCAATGACTTAGAAATGCAATTTACCAGAAACACTCCCGCAGTTGCTGATTATGTGAATATGCACTGGGCTTTTCCATACATCAGCATTTATTTTTAACCACATGTACAGTATAAAACCATCCATATATCAGCAGAGAAAATGCAAAGAAGCTTAACAACTTCAAGCTCATCAAGAGCTACTTGAAAGTGCACGCACCAGTGGAAATGCGGGCATTGGGATTGTGAGTTCTTTCAATTTGGTTTGTGCCATTTCAAATTGACATTCATTGTTTTTTTCTGCCTCATTCTTCCTCTCTGTCTCTTTTATGACAAACTGCCAGTTACTTCACAATGGAGCCAAGCTATAAAGTTAAACTTAAGAGACATAGTTCTAGAAAAATCAGTTCTTTAAAAAAAAATGTCAGTTTTTTTTTTTTTTACAGTATTATAAAACAAATGACAGGACTTCAAAAATACCAATGATGAATGCTTCAGTAATAACAAAATTCCTGTTGTACTACAAGTTTAAGATGTTTAAAATGTCTGACTTTGGTGGTCTACAGTGGTAGTTTCAAAGACACTGGCAGAAAGCAATCATGTCACATTATCACATGCACTTTAGAAACTGCTTCTATAACCCAGGTGAAAAAAATCCAAGCCAAAGCCAAAAACTATTTTACTAGTTGCAAAATAATTATGCCAAGAAGTTTTAGCATAATTCTGCTGTTTGTAGATTGCATACTCAACATGAAAACACCACATGAACTACCAACATGAATGGACAGCTATAATTTGGCATACTGAAAGCTACTGCTTCAAAAGTTTTTTGTTATTACCTTCATAGGCTCTAACATTCACCTCTAAACAATGATGCCTCAACACTCAGAAACAGTGTAAGAATAACAAAATGAAAAAAGACAAACAGATGGAAAGAAAAGTCTCTGCAGACTTTTGTCACTGCCAAAGTCTTACACTGACAGTGCTCAACAATGTGTCCAGCAGTGTCCACAGCAGGTTACTAATCAGATATCTCCAGGGAACTGACTCTCTCTACATGAATCACAGATGACTTTTACAAGATGTCTCACTGGACTTGTGGACTTGGCATCCATTTCACTGGGGATGCCAACATGTTTCATCCGCCGCCTTGGTTTACTGTCAAATCCTTTTAGTCCTGTCTCTTCTTCTACGGTTTATCCACGTTTAGGACATCCCACTGTTGTCTCTGCCTCTCTGACTCCTTTAACAAAATGCTCTTTAGGAAGGCTGTGACAAACCAAGAGGCTGACAGGAATACAAGAGTATCAAGAAAGCGAGGAGGAAGTAAAAACCTCAGGTTGTCTGAATGGTATCAAGGTCGACATACCAGACAAGTGCAGGCATCTTTACAGCGTTCACTGTCTTCTTTTCTATTTCACACTCATAGACCATCCATTTAGCCCGGCCAGCCTTCCATCTCTAATAAATGATTTTATAAGCTGTCGACATATACCATGTAACATCATTAATCACAAATAAAAACATACAAATTGTCTGCGACTACATGGCCTCTGCTCTTCATAGAGGTCTGCTCTCTTTCCCTGCTTCTATGAGCCTCCTTTTCCTCTCTCCATCAATCTGTTCAAACATAAAATCAACTTACATAAGCAAACACACTGCTGTGCAGTAGCGTTTGCTTAACATTTTCCAGCTAATTGTACCATTGCCTTGGGGAAAACTCAATTAAGATTGGCTAGAGGATGTCCATTAATTGAATTTAACACACAGTATAACCGGACACCTCCGACGTGACTGTCTGAACATCATTCTAAATGAATGTAGCTGCAGAGCTAAATAATCAGGGAGATATACATCGCTCGCTCTCTGCATGCTTCATTGTTTTCTGGACTCCGAAGACTGGCAACAAAGCAGCAGAATGGTAGCAAGCAACCCAATAATATTCCAAGTGCATTGACTGGGTTCCAGGTATTACTCAGTCCCTTAGGGGTTACCAGGGAAACAGAGATATTACCAGAAAAAAGGTCAGGTGGTATCCCAAGATAAAGGGGGAGTTTTCCTTTCACTGGTCTAGATTGCTGAGCCAGTAATCAATTCCAATTTCTGAACTTACAGTTTGAAGTAGAAAACCTTAATTACCTGCTACAAGTGTTTCTCTCTTTGCCTATCTCCTTACTAAAGACCAACAATACAATGGAAAATCCTGACATGCTTAGAGGACCACTGGTCTTTTTCGGTGCCACATGTCATTTGCCAAGCTCTTAGTAACAATGCGTGGAGTAGTTCAGGGCATGAGGCTGTAAATGTGTGTCACAGGAAGCCAGGCCAAAATGCATCTCCTGCCAATGTCCTGGTGGATTCCCTCAGATCAACACCTCTCAGAAAACAGTGGGGCGCTGAATATTGTGCTGATGCAAGAGGCCATGGTTTGCAGGGCACTGGAATTCAGTCTGCACACTCACAAACATCCATCCATCCATCCATCGTCAACCGCTTGTAATAAATAGTATTGATTGTTTTGATTCAAATGTTGCACACAAAGACAGAAATCTCTCATGTGAAATAACTAAAACTTTTTAGCACGGCATTGCCCTTAGCAAGAAGCTGATTGAGGTTTCCAGGGCCTTTAATGGGTAGACAGTGAAGATATAGATTTTCTGTGGATCATGAATATCCACAGAAGATTTTATGGAAATCTGGCCAGTGGTTGAAGTTGCCTTGTTGCCAACTGTTAGCCAGGGGAGGCTGTAGACAGTCACTTTTCACATAGCAGTGAGGAACATCTTCAGGAACAGCTATAGTCAATATTTTCAGATTAATAATTGATCACATGACATGGGAAAGGGGTCAATAGTAGTGACAGACCTACTGAGAATTATCACCCAACTCTGCTGTTCCATCGGTTCTATGGAGATTTATAGTACCTTTCACCTCACTGATTTGGTGGTTTTACGGCCTGCAACTTTACTGTTTTGATTCACTCTCACGGCTCTCATCAGCATCATTTTTGTATTAGCCAGCTATTTTCAGAGAAATTCTCTAAAACATCAATGTATACTACCTGTTCAGCACCAAACAGCATGCAGACACAGTAAGCATTTAGGAGCTAATAAGCCATATATTTCCCTCAGGGTCGGGGTTGGTGAGGTTCTCCTGACTTTCCATTGGACTCACATTCACCAGGAGACCAGAAACACAACTCCAGATGAATGGCTAATATTGATCCCTAACTGCTTGATCTGAAAAAAGGCGAGTGTTTGCTAACAAATTCACGATAAAATAATATAAGGTGATAATACAGTATGAAAATGTTGTTTACAGCTTTTTTTCCACAGCCCCCAAGTGGTCAAAAAAGCAGTTATTGCAGGTTTAATGTGCCAAGAGCTTTATCGCTTAGATGCACTAAGAAGAACTTCATCCCTCACTGGCTTCCAACCTTATTTGATGGGAAGAGCCATGTGGCCAGAAGCACCACAGCAAAGGGACAGAGCTCAAGTCTTAAGAGAAGATTTTGACCTGATGGGGATGTTAGACGAAAGCTTAGAGGTCATCAATTAGGTATCATCCTCTGGGGACCATGAATATCTATGCTTTCACAGTTTCATTACTAGTCAAGATATCTTGTTATCCAGGTTTTGAATGAACCGACCAACATTACCATATAACCTTAAGCTCCACCACTAATGAGCCATAACCTTTTATGTGCCCAGTTCAGTAGTAGCGTAACTGCTGATGCTGAGCTTCCAGTGCAGACAAATCACCAGCTTTTTAACACTGGTTTCTATGCACTGTAATGAGACAAAGTGCTATTCCAAAACAGGATCTAAACCTGCCACTTTGAAAAAATGGCAAGAGGGTGAGTAAATATGTGGCTATCTCTTACAGTTAAGCCGTTCATTGTCCAACTGAGCTGAGGGAATAGAGACATACAGTATCTTACAAAAGTGAGTACACCTCTCACATTATTTTAAATATTTAATTATATCTTTTCATTTGACAACACTTAAGAAATGACACTTTGCTACAATGTAAAGTAGTGAGTGCACAGCTTGTATAACAGTGTAAATTTTCTGTCCCCTCAAAATAACACATCACATAGCCATTAAGACATTTAATGGCTGTGTGATGGCAATGACATAGCTGTACCTTGAGATTATCAACAAATAACAGTTCTTTTCTCTTCCTCCTTTTATGGTGGCAACTAGCTATCAATGGAGATACTCTCCTGAATGTGCCTGAGCCTGTTTCAGTGTAAATTTTAATAGCCCGGTCCCCTCAGGTACATGTTTGCTGATCATTCATGGGTGCTGGCCTGTGTGCTTTAACTTGAACACGTATACATTTTAGCAGCACTATAAATTCCCAGTATTCACGGTGATTTGGCTGATTTACTGATGAGAAGTTGAGTCAATTTAAAATGGTATACATTTGGTAGAATGGCTTTTAGATATTTAGGCTACATCTACTTGTAGTTTTTTTGCATATATTTTAACCCGTGACAGGCCCATTATACAGATTTACTAGCTATGAGCTGGACAAGGCAGTCAAAATGCTCCACTGTCAGGCCAAAACAATCAATAAAACAGGCACTGCAAGCTGCTGGATGAGATGATTAAATGTTCTGTGCTCTATTCTACCCAGCATAGCAAACAACATCCTGTGTTCAGACAGAACTCCTTATCCGCTACTTCAAGAGCAAGCAGAGCAGAAAGCTTTGTGCCTCGAGCTCTTTCTCCCTGTAACCAGCGACATTGCTTTTGCTTTGGAGCATTTCTATGTGAAAATGGCCAAACTGTGCTTTATACTCTCCGTTGCTAGGGTGAGACATACGACAGAGTGGTGCAAAATAGCAAAGCAACCTAACTGAGAGAAAACAGACGACCCCTAAAAATACAAAACAGTTTAAGAGTTTGACGCAAACATCTTCTCTACAACTACTCAAAAAGCCACTGCATGATGTGATGGTCTGAGCTACCAGATTTATTAAAACCTCCTCTAGTCTTACTAAAAGGAAGTGAATCAATTCACTCTTGGCTGTAGATTGCTGTTGAGAAGCTGCAGGCAATCAGGACTACCTCCAATTTTCTCTTTTTGCTTTTAGTCACGGTGAAGGTATGGATTCAGCTAGAAACATCATGCAATCCACTGTCACGGTGTGCTTTTGTGGTGGAGACTATGGAAATACATGTGAGTGAGATTTCAGCACTGACAGCATCTATTGTGATTCTCCAAACTGATCTCACTGTGCAGTCTTTCGTCACCTACTTTCGAACAACATCAACAACAAATTTCGGCTTGTGGCGTTCATTAAGGTCATCCGTCTTTTTCTCCTGTCATCACCTAACATTTAGATATTCTGATTTATACCACAAAGGCAAAAATTGTAAACTGCTTTAGCCAGTGTCATGATTTTATACAAAAAAACCCATCTAGATTTTCCACCAACACTGTGTCTGTGATTTCCGCAGGCAATATCACTCTATAATTATTGCATGACAAATGATAAGCCACCACCATAACCACCATAAAAACATGTAAAATATGGTAATTTTGGAAGTGTAGCAGGTACAATAAACCTTGACAAAATCAAGCACAAAAGCAGCACCGTGGCTGTTTGGTACCAGTTATACATGAGCATATTTTGTATTTTTGGATGCTAGTTCACACTCCCACATAGACAACAAAGCATATGAGAGGAGCAACAGGAATTTGTCTCTCCAGACACAAGGCAGTGCTCTACACTCCAAATATGGACAATCCAGAATTACACTGCGTTCTTTTTTTATAACCATAAACTGTGTAGGCAATTTGAAAAGGATATTCAATCACAGTTCAATGATACTCCATTCCACTCTCATGCTCTCATAAGACATAATCCACTCCCGCACCCCACTCATGTGCTCAAAACCTAATGCTCTAATCTGTCATGTCTAGATACTGTTGTTTGTACTAGTGTTCTTCATGTAATGACTAACATGTATTACATGGGACACCCTTGCTGTGCCTTGTTGGGATCTATAGCATCTTAGGCAAGATTACGCTAATTTTATATTTTGATTGTGTAGAACTAACTACTGCTTTTGGAGATTGGTTATCTTTTGTTGTAAAATAACTATTGCAAAGAGATAAATGCAAACAGTATTATCTGAATTTAGCATTACTGGGCATTTCGATTAGCTCACAATTAAATGCTGTTCCTGCGAAAACTATTTAATAAAACATTAGCAATGCCAACAGTACAACATATTATCTGTTTTTACTCACTATACAACACTGTAATAAGGGTTTTCACATTTAGCTGTGCAGAGTTTCTCCCTGAAGAATTAATTAAGAGTATTGCACAGGAAAATTGAGGATGGTGGCCATATAGTGAGATGTATGTGCTCTGAGAAACCGAGCTGAGGGGATTTAGGTATGTTGTTTCAATAGAAATGTCAGTTTTCTAATTATAATAACATCATTAAAAATAATCCTTTGATAGGAAAAAACAAATTAGATGTTGCCATTTTTTCATATTAATGATCACATTATAGTTATTTCATTAACAGGAATATGGAAAATATAGTATACTATTTTTGTACTTTCTACTAATCTATTGACATTCCGACATAGCTGACACACATTAAGGTTGGAGTATTGCTGCCCATCAATTGCTGCTATGTTGTGTCCCTCAAAATAAAATGGCCCATATGTAATATCTTCCACCCTGCAGCCATTACATCTAATGATTTACATAATATTCTGTAATAAAATCTGGTGTACATTAAAATAAGTACAGTTAAGTGCATTCGTACTTAGCAAAAAGACAGTTATTCACCTAGGCCAACCACATGTTTAAGTGCTTGCTCTATTGTTCAGTGTTGATTTCCTGATTAGTTTAGTGTTGAATATTTAATATAAATATAGACACGCAGTACACATTTTGCCCTTTATGTCAAATTGATTATGTTATTATTTAACACAAAACATGGAATGTAACCAACACACAGGTGAGAGATAGAGTACAAAATGTGCTAGTCATATTATTTTGAAATATATATGTGAATGTATTTAAACTAGAAGTACTGTAAAGTATAGTATTGTATATTCTGGAGTATAGTACAGTATGTACTAGAGTATATTGTAGTGCATACTGAAATAGTATATAGTATGTAGTATAGTATACTATAATATAAATTTATAGTATTATATAGTATAGAATAAATAGCATATATTATAGTATTGTAAAGTATAGCATAATATATTCTAGAGTATACTATATAATAGTATATTCTGAAGTATAGTGTAGTATTGTTTTGCAATGTATAGTGATGAATAGTACTGTAGAGAAGAGTACAATATCTAGCGAAAATAATTCAAACTTTTAGTGTAACAACTATTGCAAAGCAAATTTAATTATACAACTTTGTCCAATCACTGTTTTTGCTTTTAAGATTTAAATTATGAAAATTAAGAAAATAACCACAAAAGCACATGTTTACAGTAACATCAAAAACCATAAATATCTGTGAGGCACTTTAGACTTACAGGTAACTGTTTCTCCAGGCAGTTGTTGAAGTTTTTGATTTGGTTGGGCTTCAGCTTCTTGAGGGGGATTCGCGTTTCCCCGATGAACTCGTTGTGGCGGAATTTGTCCTCATCACACACTGAAATCCTGAGAGGAGAAGAACAGAGCAAGTAGAGAAAGACATGAATTAAGGGAGGCTCAGGTTGGGGTTTTGTTGCTGTCATTTTCCACCACGGGAGCCCATCATCCTCCATCAAAGGGATTTAATTCTCACCAAAATCTTCACTTAACTATAGAGCTACTCCCACTGACTCTCATGGCCTCATAGCACTAAGACAAAATTTAGTTTTATAACTAGTTTTGGGTATATAGACGATGCCTGGAACACATCCCATTTCCGCACAAACATATTGAAGTATGTCTTATCCGTAGGGATCGCCAAATTTAAAATTTAAAATTATGGGAGGAGGGTAATATTTCGAGAAAAAAAAATCAAAACTTAAGATTAAAGTTGTAAATTTACAAGACAAAACTCTCAAATTGATCATGTTTTTCTAATACTCCTTATTACATAATGTTAAATTTCATCACAGGATATGTCATAACTAACCCAGACTATGGGGTGAATTGTAACATTTCACTCCTTGTATTTGAGACTAAACAATGCATTTTCTGTCTGTGTTGCAGAGATTACAGTAACACTAATTAATTTGTCACATTTTGAACCCACTGGCTTAAAAGTTACAATGATTCCCAGTCTCCCCTAAATTTATGAGGTAAAACTCAAACATTTGCAAGAAAGAAACATTCCCACATATAGGCTTACCGGTCGATGCTTTTTGGTGTCTAAATATTTTGGCATATGATTAGCCTCACACTTAAACATGATGTTTGTGCAGTGAAATCTTGAAATGAGTCTGACCAAATTAGGGTATGTGCATGTAGGTGCAGCGCTCATTCCCACATCCCTCGACTCTTCTTCTTCATCCCTCATCCCTCCATCTGGACCCTTAATCCATTCCTCCTACACCATCTTGGCTCTCCTCCATCCATAATATACAGTAAAATATTTATTGCCGTGGTCTTTGTCAGTGAAACCCTGGTAGTTCTGCAGTGAAGGAGCTCACAAGAGTTTTGCCAGACTCAATCAGCACAAGAGAAAATGATGGGATAATTATGCTTTAGGAAGCATACAGCCATATTTGGATGAAAAGACTCAAACATACTAAAATGAGAGGGGAAACTTGGTGAGAAGAAGTTGAGAGATATTTCAAATGAAAAATTATCATGTCAAAATCATTTAAAACCAAATCACGACTGTACATATCTCGCTGTGCTTGTTTTATTTACTCAATTAGTGCAGCTTGAAGTGAATTGTGCCAAGGTGCATGGTACGTTCAGCCTGTTTGCTTATTTTCATTACATGTCCATTTTCTTTCCACAGAACACATGGACACAACACACATCCTCCTTCCAATGCATGACAACATCCTTGTTGAAAAAATCAATGTATGTATGCCAGTGTATTCTTAAATACATAACTGCTTCCAAAAGATAATGATGGTGAAGTGAAAGGCAGTTCTTAATTCAAAACCACATGGATAAAGGCACACATACAGTACATTGAGCTTCAGTTATACTTTCTAGACTGGAGATCTATATTCCTGTCTGCCATTTCATTACATTTATAATTAATGTCAATTGCTGGTGTGGGACAACGCTGCTCTCAGTCGATCTATGTCTTCGAATAAATGCAGAGAGTTTGTTTCAAGTGTTTTTCTCTGTATAATCGGCCACCATATGGAGGAAAACATGCAGCCTTCGCGCACTCAATGGCATGAGTAATATGTATTAGCATGGTAGCTTGGAATGTGGCATAATCAAAATCGGATAAAAAATAAATGATCTGCTGCATGGACAGGTGGCGCTAAATTAAAATTTCAATTTACAAAAAGAAATGAAGAGCCGTACTCACAGTATTGATCCTGGAAAGTGTTTAATCAAGATGCTATTTTGACTTGTGTACAGACAAGTGTCCATCGGATTACATCTCGGTGAAGTTGCCAATATTACTGACATTCATTGTTATCATGGTACTCAATGTAGTAATAACACAGTTAAAATTGCTCTCCATGGGAATGCATGTTTCTCTAAGTATTGGACAAATTCAAATTTTGACCTGATGATAACATTAGATGAAAAGTTAAAGGATAACCAAAGTTATTACGATTAATTGTGAGGGGGAAATGTTGAGGTATTTTGGTCTAGACCAAACTGGTGGACTGTCCGACAGACCCACAAACTGACATTGCTTAAAAATTCCTACAAATGGCATGGCCACAACAGACAGTACCTATTTTGCCATCAAACCTGTTTTTCTCAGTATACAGCAAGTCTTGTTGGATAATATTATGAGCCCCCAGTACGCGAAGTAAGTCACAACTACAGGTAGGAGGTGTGTTAACAGAGACACATCCACACTAGAAACACACGCACACACACCCACCCACCCACACCCACACACACACACACACACACACACTTGGTGGTTGCTTGGGGGGAAACAGAAAAATTTAAGCAAACTGAAATCCTCTACTGCATACGGCCCATCTCTCATTGGGATATAGTATAGTACAGTATAGTACACTGTACTGTAGCTACTAAAATTATTACGCATATGATTACATAACCCACTTCCACCACAGTGTTAACACTTTGGTAAAAATAAAGTAGCAAAGAACAGTAAAGTAACACTTGCATTGTGTAACAGTGTCATGTTTATCATGGGAAGTAGAGACTTCTGTCTATTCTCAGGTGTTGTAGTGAAATATAAATAACCAACAAAGTTTTTTTCACCCACACCAAAGTACTGCTTAGAGATTGCATAAACAAAGGATTTCCCGGCTGTTAAACTGGGGATATCACACGTTCTGGTTCGCCTTGGCACACATCATAAATTGTAGAGAAAAGGAATCCACAGGTAAAATAACGACACCAGTCATTTCTGGCTAAAACGGCTGTTGCCAAATACAGGCTGTAATAAAGTGATTTACCTTCAGAGTCAGAAACTATAAAATATCACTGCTCCCTGAAAATTATTTTTAAACCCTTTCAAAAGTAGATCTACAGCAGCTAAGGATTAAACATATCAAAACAAGGAAATATATTTTCTCTTTCCCTTCGCCCACTTTCTTTCTCTTCTCTTCCATTCCTTTAATTTCCTTCCCTATTTCCCCTTTGTTTCCCTTCTCTCATTTCTTGTTTTCTTTTCGATCATTTCTTGTGTCTTTCCCTTTAATGTTTTTTCACCTCTATTTCCTTCTTTTTCTTCCCTCCCCTTCAATCGTTTATGTCCTCCCTCCCTTTCCTTCTGTCCATCCTTGCTTCTCCTCCCTTCCATTACTTTCATTTACCTCCCCTTTCCTTCCCTCTTTTTTCCACTTCACCCCTCTCAATTCTTCCTTCCATTGCTTTCATTTGATTCCTCCCTTCTTTTCCTCCCTTTCCTTTCTCCCTTCCTACCCTCTTTTTCTCCCCTTCCATCCCTCTCATTTTGTTCCTCCCATCTCTTCCAATCGCTTTAATTACTTTCCCTATTCTTTCCTTCCTGCATTCTTTGTCTTTTCATTCTGGGCACACATAGGGCATACACTGGGAGTACCTGAGTGTTTTGCGGACCATATCCTCGTCAGTGATGCCGTAGTAGGTCAAGGTCTCGCTCCATACAGGGTTGAGTGTGTTGCGCAGGGTCTTGGTTCTAAGTTTATTGGCCTGAAAGACAAAAGGAAAAGTTGGCCATTAAACAGGACTGAACATCATGATTGACTAACTGGTGGCTCCCCCGTACAGCTCAAGAGAGCACATCTGTCAGGTGTCAAGTTTCATTGAAATGCTGCCAGAATTATACAAACATCCCTGAAAATGTACAAAGCCTCTTCGCGCTGGTGAAAATTTGTCAATGCATTGACGTCTGGTGGCAAATATGCAAACGCAAGCTCAGTGCTGCATATTGAACACTGTCGGGAATGAAGAATACACAGCAGACTGCATTTACATGAAGTGACAGGCATAATCAAAGAAATGCAGGTGAATGATGCTGAATACACTGAAGTTAAACAAAAGTTACAATTATTCAGCTCTGGCTCACTCTGTTTCTGTTTCTGTCAGCACTACAGTTTTTGGAGAAAACCGCGTTCCAGTCAGAGACATTTGTCAGGCGTTACATTCACGTTTGAGCCATAGGCTGCAACAGTACAGTAACAAAACAACATACACCTAAGAAAATACATACATACAATGCAACAAGTAACGTATCATAAGATCCATAGAATTAAATAGAAACCTGAAAAGTACGAAGTACTGGATTAATACACTACAAAATACATAGCCTAATAAGTAATATTTATCAATAACAAAAGTTCAAATAGGAAGATCAGACAACAACCAGTTCTTGTATCCGATCCAAACTAGAGATAATTTTCAAATTTGGCACTTTAAAAGGAGTATTGGGCTGGAATCAGGATGTGGTTAGCTTAGCTTAGCATTAAGACTCGAAAAAGCTAGCATGGCTCTGTCCAAAGGGATACATATACCTACCAAAACCCCTAAAGGTGTCTTATTTACATTGTGCATTTAAAAAATATGTTTACATAAATGTAAAAACAACAATTGGTTGATTCAGGGGGAGTGCCATGCTGTAACTGCTTCTTGCCATCCACCTGCCACCGACTGGCTGAAGTGCAGGCTGGCGGATTCGGTGAACAAGCACAGGTTTCGGTTATAGCTTCTGCACATGATGGTGCCAAACCTGGCAACCTCTCTCTGACAACAAGAGCTTGGCACATTCCCTGTGGCTGATTGTTGTTTGCCAAGAAATACATACCTAACTCCCTCTAAACCCACAAATTATCGCTTTAACATTTAATTAGTGTTAGTGAGCATATTTTGTAACTTTGGAGAGAGCCAGGCGGGCTGATTCCCCCTTCCTTTAGAATATGAGAGGTTAAACACATCCTGACTCCAGCTCTGTAGACATCTTGTAGACATGAGATTTACATGGATCCTCTCTTATCATACTCAATATCAATTTATCTCTTAAAAATAAAAATGTTACATTGCAGTAGTCTACAAATGAAGACAAATAGGCCTACTGTACCAAAAAAACAACAACTAAGTCAGTTAGTGATCTATTAGGTGCAAAGCCTAAAATTACAGGTTAAAATAGTAAAATTTAAACCAGTAGTTCTCAAACTAGGGTCTGTGGATTCCCAGGGGTCGCTGAGGGGTTTCTGGGGGTCCCCAGCAAAAAGGAGAATACTTTATTTTCTTTATAATTCTATCTGTAAGTAGCACAGTGACAGAATGTTGGACTATTTTGGTCACGGGTTTTTATACACTTTCTGTAATAAAAGATGGGGAACCCTCTGGAACAAAACCAAATCAAATGGGGGTCATTGGTCTAATTTGTGTTAGTTTAGAGGTCCCTGATGTGAAAAAGTTTGAGAACCACTGATTTAAACAACACTCATACATACATACATATTGATGCAGAGAACCTTAAAGGAGAACACTGATTTTACACATCAAAGTGTGTCCACTGGTTTTGGGGAGCACTAATATAGATCAAAACATTGTATAAAGCATTTTGTGGTTCTAAAGGGAGCTGCGTGAAGTCTGATATATTGCCTCGAGTGGTGTCACATGTCAGTCATGGCTGAAGATGAAATGAATAAAAATGAAAAGACAATTTGGGGGGTGGAGGAATGAGCTAACTAAACCTCTGTAGCTCGCTCCTCATCTCTGCTTAAGCCTAGGTTTAATGCTACATTGTTACTAGCATAAAACACCCAAACCTCTGACTGAACTGGGTTAAGGTTAGGGATGGGGTTGCAATGTGGGTAATAAAGGCGCCATGTTTCCACAAGGAAGAAAATACATGAAATAAAGAAGACGAAAGATGGGGATTGTGTTACTGTGGTATATCCTCAGAGCTTGTGTATCAGACAAAAAACTCAAAGTCAGTGAGTGGCTTGCATATCAAGAATTGCATCAATAAATATCACAGTAACCATCAGACGGTTAATGTAGCATTTTCAATGAGTTACTTTGCCAGAGGTGCATCAATTGCAATCTAGCGAGATTAAGAAAAATGACTGTGACAAGCGACACGGCTTTGTCACTGTGTGCGGGGAAATCCTCCGAGCACGCTGCTCAACATGACAAGATGAGGAAGACGATACTGTGTTGTGAGTCATGGGCGAGGACATCTGATTCTGTTGAATTCAATCAATTAGCTGGTGTGATTATTTGCAAGTCTGATGGCAGTGTTCCACATAATAAGCCTCTCGCTGATTGTTTCTCCCTCAATCAGTGGTTGATTCCCACAGGAAGGGTGTTGAAAACACACACACACACACACACACACACACACACACACACACACACACACACAAACACAGATACTTCAAAATTACATTTTTGAAGCTAATAACATTTTGTGTAAAAATGCAAATAACATTTTTATTCTATAATTTAAGTATTATTTCAGTCCTCTGTTCTTTTTTTTCTATAAATGACACATGTTTTCAATCTTCTCAGAATAAACTGTCTGAGAAAGCATTTACAGTTGTGTGATGAACATCAGATTAATGGGAACTCTGTGGACTCCAATTAAAATGTTGCATCCGTAATAATTTAGGTTGTGTGTGCTGGTGGCTTAGGGGTCTAAAATGCCTATGATGTAATTCTGTCTCCAGTTCATTTTCTGCTAAGGATCTTTGTTGCATGTCATCCCCTTCGTCACCGTCGCCACAGATTTTCACAGTTTATTCATTCATTCATTTAGCTGTTAAATTTTCCGCTCAATAAGTTCAATTATTTTGAACTTCAGACGCACAATGTTGTTCTGTTGTTTACCAGAGCTGTTTCTGTCCTCTCTGTCGCTGTTTCAGCATGGCTTAGTGGCTCCTCTGACACACACTGTCATATCGAAGACGACGTGCTAACAAAAGCTAACATTATCAACCTCACAAATGTGAAAACCACATTGGCAGATGGAAGATGCAAGCTTGTTGTAGATTTCATGTATATGTGGACATAGTCAGATAATCCGTTAAAAAAAATTAAAAGCATTCGTTTGGTCAAGCTTTGTAAACAAGGATCCACGCTGCCCACGTGAGAGTAGCCTCGTCAGACCCACCTATTTCCTGTGTTCAGCAGCATGTGGAGGCTGTCAGTAGGGGACAATTGAATATATAGTATTTTTGTGATACAAAATAAACAAATTCATTTATATCGGTTCAATATGTAGTATTTTCTTATTGAACTGTTGAAATTTTATTCACCACCACATGATTACACACTTTCTGATGACAAAAGGTGTGTAAATTGTAAATAAAAACAGAATTCAGAAACATTTTAGCAGAAAACACAGAATCTTGCAAAAATGATACTGAATCTGGCAAAAAAATTACGTATTTCATAGGGCCCTATTCATGGTCTCATCGCCCAAAATCTGGACGTAGCTAGCAAGCAAACTCAATCAGGAGGTAGTAACTTTAGCGATAAAAATTATGAAGAGGAACGGAGAAGGTGATAAAACCCAAACAGGCAAAAATTTGTGCGTCACATCGACGCCGACACCACGTTAATCCATGTGTTACTATCATGTGTTGTAAACTTCTGTGTGCCTGTCCTGTAGAGATTCATTTAAATAACAAAAACAGCTACATTAGCATTTGTTGTTTGAAAAAGGCTAAGTTATGTGAATGCTCCTAGGAACCATAGATCACAAAGAAAAACACAAAGGAAAACAGGTCGCTGCACAAGCCAATACTGAACTGCATTGTTGTGATGAATATTAAAATAATTTTACAGTGTGCATGCATGACAACAAGCAAAAAAGAACACTAACATGTAGCATAGAGATGTTGTTTATAATTCAAGCCAATATGTGATATTGTACCTGTCCATTCAGCTTCTTCATTACTGTCTAAAGCAGTATTCCCATCTACAATGAAGGTCAATGTGAGGGATGTGGGGACTGGGAGGCTTGATTATTTCAAACGTCCTGCCTGACTGTCACTAAGTGGATTGTTGGCAGGATGGCAAAAAGTAGAAGAAGTGATCAGGTGAATTACAATGTTGTCAGATGACAGTTACTTGTGGGCAGGGATGTCAATAAATCACAATGAAGCGGGTTGACCTGAAGGGATAACCCAACAAGTATTTAATTAAAACAATTACCAGAGTAACCCTTTAACAGTGTGCAGCAGAGTGAAAGGCTGCTGATTTAAAACAGGGTGATAAAAGCAGTGAATTAACTTCATAAAGAGCGAACCTGAGTTTTCTCCTCTACACGTGTGATCAGCATGCATTAAAAGGGGAAATAATTCACCACCACCAGCTGCTCACAGATGGAGGGCAGTGCTACAAATGAGCAATTGGTGTCACAAGCCATTTCAGCTGCTGAGGCTAAAGAGACAATTATTGCAGTATTTTTGCATAAACCTCTGGACTTGTGTACCCGCTAGCTTCAATTTGGAGAGAGGCAGTGGGACAGAAACACAGACTTGTGTAGGAGGGAGCATCTGGAGGCGCACACATGGTACTTTTGGACATTTCAGTAACCCGATTTTAATCCCAACAGGTGTTTAACTTAACCAGCCGAAAGCAGCTGGTCCTAAACTGTGTCTCCATTGTGTTATCTGTTACAGACAGAGTCAGCACATTACCTGATTCAACAAAGCTCCTCTACAAACACAGGAAACTTT